CTTCACCCATCCTTTTTGGTAGAGCCGCCTATCTGACCGGTGGACGCTTACCACTAGACGGTGGTATCTCTGGCAATTCAGCCATCAACCCAACACTTCCACTAAGTGTTCATCGCTTTCAGTAGATTTCTTATTCCAATTTTGCCTCACAGTACTGTGAATTGTTCTGTAGGAAGAATTGTAGTTAGGATGTCTGCTACCATACTTGTAGTCGGATAGTACTCAACTATAAGACGTCCTTCTTTTACTAAATTTTTTGTAAACAAGAACTTAACCTGAATGTGCTTGCTAGCTTCATGGTTTCCAGGATTCTTAGTAATGCTGATAGCTGATCTGCTATCCCACCATACTTGCACAGGCTTTGTTTGAGGAAAACCCGTTTCCGATAGCAAGTACCACAACCATTCGCTTTCTTTTGCACCTTCACTTAATGCGATGAGTCCCGCTTCTGCAGTGGACAGGGAAACGCATCCTTGTTTGCTACTACACCAAAAATACTGCAGCCAACCATTTAATCGATCGATTTACGTTCTTTTAAATGACACGCGAAGCTTGCGTCAGTGCACACTTCGTAAGTCACGTCTCTCGATTTACCATTAAGGAATAGACCGTACGTTGACGTCCCTTTCAAGTATTTTAGTACCCTCTTAGCTGCTTCCCAATGTGTGTCGTTGTAGCATGACAGGTATTCCTTACTGCATTTGCAACATCTGGTCGCGTTCGGATATACTTGCTCGTACAGCTAGCGACAGTGTATTGTACTGATTTGTCTCTTACAATCTTACCTTACAGCATGCGACAAATGATCACTGTACGTAGGTGATGGTAACTTACCATAACCTACGTACAGAGATCATTTGTCGTTGGTAACTCGCCTTGATTGACCAGGCCATTCGGCGCAACTTACTCCAGCAAAAAAAACTCGCAAACTAGTGTAGAGGCGAAAAGTCGATACATTCATACCTAGAAAGTTGCCACCCGGGATAGGTATGTCGTTGCATTCAATTCCAGCAGTAAGGAAGTATTAATAATTCGAAATATTTACTAGCCGCTTTGTGGCAAGCATGCGATTCTACAGTAAAATCTGTTCCAACTAATAGTCGCCGCTGCCAAGGTCACCATCAGATATAGCAATAACATCAGATAGTGGAGGATGGTAAAAACCTGAGGCGCTAACACTTCGAGTCATGATCTCCTAATACATAAACAGCTCGTCTCCGGGATGTTTAGGGTTGACTTCAGAGTTTTGCGATGGTGAGGAAAGCAAAAAACGTCGCGAACCCGACCCAGGAGCACAAAAAGAAAATATGCACGCGGAAACGAGACTTTCCGGGCCTAACCCAACTACATCTAGCTGAAAGGGCAGAGCGTGGATTTTCTCTGGTTAAACTGTGCAAGGAACCACTTCTGCAATCCTCAAGGAAAGCGCTCGCTACCTCAACGTCTGGGACGATAACCGAGATGTACGACGAGCAAGGTTACTGAACAGCGATTGAAAGTTCGTGATTGGACATCGAGAAATTCGTTTGCACCGAGGGAGCAGCATAGAGAAATGGAGAAAAATTGGCCGGAGGCCTTATTGGACGA